TCAGATTGCTATTTTAGTAACACACTTAAATAATAATTGTATCTGATACATACGCATACTACATACGCATCAAATTTAGATTTTTTATGAATTTCTAAAGCTGTTCCAAAATTGGGCCAACTGCTAAAACCTATAGCCTATGGTTTTTGGCCAAATTTGGTCATATTACACAAGGCTAACACTGCTATTATTAGTAACACAACACCTCTGAGGTTTGGATTATAAGCTAAGGCAGCACTGAATGGCTTTAAATACCAAACTAATGGACTAGCAGCCAAAATAAAACTGGAGTTTACAGAAGCAGAACCAAAAGGAAACTCCCTCTACAATAACAAACCATCCCACTCTAAAAGGGCAAACAGGAGTATGAATTTCAAACAATGGAGGCCATGAAAGATTAACTAGAGATAGACCAATTTAAAACCACAATATTAATGAAGAGAGAGAGAGAGAGAGAGAGAGAGAGAGAGAGAGAGAGAAAGGGAGAGGGAGAAGAAAGAAGAGAGAGAGAGATAGAGATACATGTACACATGTAATGTAATATAAAAGATAATACAACTACACATTAACTACACACACACTACATTACAATGTACACATGTACACTATCAGCAGATACTACATGTACTATACAGCTACATTGACATACATGTACATAAACATGTACATGTACAATGGTAAGGAATGACACATGTGAAAGGTAAAGCAAAAGAGATACAGATACAATAGAAGAGGCAGGACTAAACTACACTGCCAAGTGGATAGTGTGTGTATTAAGTACATTATGTGAATGTCTTGTATGGTATGTACATAAGACCATGAGGGTATGTATATGTACATTATGATCCTTCCCATCGATTGGCTTCCGGTACCTCCTCTCCACTTTCCGTCAGCTACTAATGACACTTGAGAGACCTCTCCTAACCCCAGCGGCATAAAAGCATCAAACCAACTAAAAACAGGACAATCCAGGGAAAGAAAAGACCTTCTTAAACCAGTTCTGTCTTCACTAGGAGGGATAAAGATGACTACTTATACAACTTATATTCTTGTTCAGTTTGTTCCAATGATAGTGTGCTCTATCTTCTTCACAGGAGCAATGGTTTTTGTTGGATTGTTTATCATAAAACCAAAGGCAACCATTAACAGGATGTTCCCATTCGTCAAAAAAGAAGATGATGAGGTATCTATATACAATTTCAAGCTTCAAAATGGCTACGTTGGTGCCCTCTTTGTCATAATGCATGCCAACATTTTCATTGTCAATATGATATTTTGGTCAAGTATTCTCATTTCTCGTTCAACCAGTTACAATCCGTACGGAGGTCCTGATTGCTTCTACAGTGGCAACCACACCCTAGTCACCCTCACTCCTGAGGAGACGCTGTCTCTTACTGAAGACGTAGTCTGTTTCTCTTGGAGTCCTAACCCAATGGGTGCTCTAGGAAACGCTACAGGAGCTTTTGCCTTTTCCTGGATGATAATAAACGTTGTGACATGGATCGTTCTTCATTTGTATAAAAAGGCAGCAGAAACGTATGGAAAGTGCTTAAAGTTATGCTATTACATTTTACTGGTCTCATTCCAACTTTGCATATACCTGACTGCTGTCCTAGTCATTGTCCTAGCTACAGTGTATCGTCAGTATTTCTCTCTCATCGGCTTCTTACAAATCCTCTTCTTTGGGTTTCTGTTAGGAGGATCAGGGACTACGCTATGGTGGCTCACAGATCTACCATAATAAACTAATGAAGTGTCTTTAGCATTAGTTTAATTAGCTTTAAAGAGAAACGGACTAAATAGAAACTAATATTGATTGAGTCATATTTTGCTTGGATGATAAATAAGCTTGTTTTGTTTTAATGCTCCTTTGCTTCTTTAGGAAGAGAGATAAGGAGGAGGAGGAGGGAAAGGAGAAATGGATGGGCAGAATATGTTGTCATTAATTTTCCTCAAGAGAATACCACACAGTACATACACTGTGTCACAGTATTATGTGTTATTTGCTTCTAAGAAGAGAGAGAGGGAGGGAGGGTAACAAAACAGGTAGACTATGTTATTATTTTTTCTCAGAGAATATCAAACACTG